GGATATCTTGACGAGATTTGGACCCAACAGGTGTGCTTTCGCTTGATACATTAATACGTAATGATGCATGAAGATTAATCATTGTAAGGTAAGGCTTGCACAAGATATCCAGAATGAAGAGCAATCAAGATTTTGAAAATAGTTTTGCAAAGTGAACCAACTTGACAATGACAATGATTTGCTGCATGAGTAAACAGAGGACAACCATAAGTCGAGTAAATCTAAGTATATATTTTAGGTACACGAACAAGTGATTGCTGAAGATCACAGTTTGGAAGAGCTGAGGAAAATTCTCACGAAGCTCGACATGCGCCGTCAGGGTGCCAGTGACTCATGCATTGATATGCATGAATACGATTCACGCAATGCGCAGAGCCCTGCATCGGATTACGATAATACTGGTCTTCTGAAGTATGTGTTCTCTCTGAATTTCTTTTCGGCATCCAATTTCACATTTCCCAAATCAATCGTTCGTCGCACATTGAGTGTTATTTTATTTATTCAGAATTTGCTGAATTCATGCATTCTTCGTTCTTCAATTTACGTCTAAGAACGTATAAAGATAAGCCATTGCAGAATGAAGTAAATGAATTTAAAAAATCTTATTCTGCTAGCCACAGATTAGTCGTTTAGATCAGTCGTTAGTCGTTTTCGCTGTGTAGTTCATTCGTTTCGTGTTGTTTGGATGTATTATTTCAACGACAACGATCCAACTTCAGATCTCGTAATCACAACGTACCAGCATATCCATACGTGCGCGGTATCGGTCAAGCACAAGTGATGAGTCGTAGTACACCAGCATCACATCTTGGTACTAACGATGATTATGTGCTCGATATTGCGCTACTCAATGACAGTCTTGCCGTAAGACAGGCTGGCATTTGTGTGCAACAACATCGCAGTGCTCAACACAAAAACCATCGACAAGCTTTCGATTTCCCACCGAAAGAACGGAGCAAGCCAAGGTGATTACGGTTTACATATCGCTCTACTTACCCACTCCTAATGAGGAGTATGCATCTAACAATTAGTTATTCAGCGTTTTCATTTAAATGAATATTTGCAGGAACTCACCTGTTGTTCATTCAACGTTGAATGGCGAATCTCATTCACATACTAGCGTCTTCCAAAACTGTGATAACGTGAGCGCTATCGCAACCACATCCTCATCCAATATCTCAAGAGTATCGCCGAAATCATTCAATACGGCCCTAACGAATCGTCACACTGAGAATGACACGGACTCTGACGATGAAGATGGCCTAATAAGCCAACAAATGCGACATCCAAGACCACCTCGTAAGGGTAAACGAAGAGTTGTAAATGGTTCATCATCACACAGTCGTCATGAAACACCAACCCGAACGGCAACAACTGTTGTTGCATCACAACCTCCTTCAAGCGGATATCAAAGTCAGAATCACAGTAGCAGGTGTCTTTTTGTCAAGATCATTCATTCTCGACTAGGAATTCTTCAGCTTAACTTGGGCAAATGATATCATTGGCGTCTCACCTTACGTAGCACTATCCTCACTTTCCATTAAAATCCTCATTGTGATTAGAATCGTCTGTCCAGTTTTTAGTAGAACAGCCCAAACTATACGAGTACGGAATTCGATAAACCGCTTTATTATTCAATGCATTTCGTGACTGAACAGTCGTTGTTACGTTCGTCGTTCGCTTGAATCTCTATGAATGCAATATCTTTTACAGTTTGAGTTCATCGAATAGTAGCAGTCCAGTGGAGCGTTCGAATCCGGTGAATGCTGTCGAATGTACATCCTCACAGTCAGCGGCAGCACTGAAAATAGCGAACAAAATGTTCACGCAGCATTCAGCGATGCCATCTACCTCATATCATCCATCACAGAAAAATTCTCCGAAAAATGATCATCTGACTATGGATGCGTCTGCTTCTGCCACTGCAACAGCTACTATCGACTCACCTCAGTGTTATCGCTCTTCAGCTCATCTAGCCACTTCCGAGACGGCCACAGTTCATGACGTGACCAAATGTTCATTACCACGGTATTTTTTTTGCTGCAACTTTTGAAAATTTTTACTCATCACTTTTATATAGATAACTCAATATGACAAGATAGATTTAGGCAGGTAAACTGAAGCGTGTTAAGAGTGAACACCGTGTGTCGCCACGTTTAAGAGGGACCGGGATTGATTGTAACGTCGTCTCATTTCAAAATTATTTCACCAGACTGACTGCTTACTCGGCAGTTCCCTTGTTAAGATGAATTTTTAAGGCGAGAACTGGTCCTAAAAATTTCACTTGCGGTTTCGGCAGTTTTCATGTATGACTGATGAGAACTATAGCCGAATTCTCGCAAATTCATCACATTCAATTTACGAAACGACTTCCAATTCGAACGGATATTGTGAATCGCATCAATGTATATTTCAATCATTTCACATCGTTCAGAACAAATCCGAGATACTCGGGGCGATCTTCATACGGTACAGCAGCT